GCTGCCTGTGTCATAAGCATCTGTTTGGCATGGCAAGAGGCATGCATATGGCATCTTTTTTTCACCCTTATTCCTTGGGAAACGTGAATCTCAAGAGAACCCTGTCTCGTAGATCACCTTACCTGTGTGGTCTACATTGTTGACTCAGCAGATCGCATTATCATGTGGCTTTAGGTGTGTGATGAATAGATAGTGGGGCTCAGACTTGACTGAGATTTCTGTTCTATTACTAGATATTGGAAATAGAAGAATAAAACCCCAGTCGTGGTCAAGATGTTTGTCTTTTAGGCCAAAATAAAGCACCCATGGTCCTTTAGTTCTAACAGTAAGTCTGTTTCATGGACGTTGTCTGCAATCCAGCGGATTTCAAAGATCCTCAAGAGGCTGTGCTATGGGGCTGTGGTATCCAGGGACTAGTTTGCCCACTCTAGTTACTGATGATCCACTCCTATCGCACTTGTCCCTGAGCTCCTCTGTCAGTGTTCTCCTGGGTGTTCCCAGGGTTGGAATGGCCGGCTGTAGGGACCGCTGGAGATGTTCTGTGTAAGCTGCCCCAGGTGTCTGTGCTGAGGCAGCCATGAACTCTGTAAAGGCTTTTGTTTTTAAAAACTTCTTCCCTTCATTACTGGTAGCAGCAACATCCAGTGGCACAAATTTGGATTGTGGGTAGCCTGCTCTATGGGATCTGTGTATAATCTAAACTGGAGTCAGCACTTTCTCAGTCGAAGTTTTCATATTTTGGCAAGAGAGTAAGAGTTCTTTTTTTTGAATTGGCTGCTATTTGCAGGTTGCGGAATCTGTGACTGAGAAACCGATTGTGTATTTACTCTTAATTATGATAGTAGCTGCCATTATTGAATGGCTACTATTGTTACCGTGCTTAGCACTCTAGACCGCTATTTTGCTTAATCCTACAAATGCTAGGAGTTATGTGGATTATCCTCTAATGCAGATGAAGAAGCTGTGGCTCAGAGAGGCTAAGTTGTGCCTGGGTCCAAAGCCTCTGCCCTGTAACCGATGTTACTGTAGGATGAATTCTTGACTTGTCCAGTGGAACACAAAACAGCATTGGGGTCATTACTAGCTCATTCCACACATTGATCCGAGGACCTGTTGTGTGCTGCCACTTATGTAGGCGCTGGGAGGATGATAGTGAAGCAAAACACAGATCCTGCCTTCCAGGTGTGTATATATCAGCCCAAGTTCTGTTTCTTATAGGCGACTGGGGTCATGGATTTTGCTGATCATTCTTGCAGAGAAATTGTTTTTTTGGCCCCCCTCTCTGAAACTGATTATGGAATGATGGGGTTTGCTGTGGCCAGTGTGCTGCTGGCCATTGGTTCTTCATCTTCTATGCCTGAGGGTGACTACGTGGCTTTCTAATGTGCCCTTAACTAGCAGAGATGGAGGTTCAGGTGGAGGGTAGGCACCGAATGACATTTAGGATACCGGTGAGTTGCTGGGGACTCCCTGGAGGCTATGGCACAATCGTCTACTCATCTGCCTAGAACTCAGCCACTGCCTTTGTCATTCCCAGTCTTGGAATCTGCCTGCATTCTTGGGGGATAAAAGAAACTTGAGTTTCTTTCTCTAATCTGTCAGTAGCATGAATATTACAAAGTTTATAAAGTAAATTTCACCGATTACCCACACCTTGGCAACCAGTTCTGTAGCTAGACTAGCTTTTTAAAAAGATATTTTCTCTCTCTTCTCAGTTGTATTGAGAAATAAAAGTTTAAGTAAGTTTAAGATGTACAGTGTGATGGTTTGAGATATATATATATATATTTATTTGTGACAGATTACCACAATAGGTTCAGCTAACATCCACCTTCTCATATAGATGAAATAAAAACAAAGAAGAAAAGAAAGGAAAAAGTTTTCTCCTTGTGATGAGAACTCTTAGAATTTGCTCTCTTGGCCAAGGTCACCACACTGTGCATTACATCCCTACCACTTATCTTATACCTGGAAGTTTGTACCTCTTGATCACCTTTCTCGAATTCCCCTTCTTCTCCCCCACCCCCGATATATTTTTGCACATTTGACATTTATTTATTTTTGAGATTTTATTTTTTAAAGTAATCTCTTCACCCAGCATGGGATTTGAACTCACAAACCTGAGATCAAGAGTTGGCACATTCCACAAACTGACCCAGCCGGGCACCCTGAAAATTTGACTTGTAAGCAAAAATCTTAGTGCTGAAGATTTTGGCCAGCTTTCAACATTTATTTATCTATGAAATCATATGGCAGACAGCTCTATTTACTTCATGGTAAATGGACAAGAAAACACTGAAGAAGGCTAGTTATTTTTTGGTGCAGCACCTGTGGCCTTTTTCAGACTAGGACCTTGGAGACTTAAATGAAGAGTTTGGGCCATCGACGGTCCCCAGTTGGTGTGGGCTGGCTACATAAGAAATACCCAGGGAGCTTGTTTAAATAGAAGTTTCTAATGCTCCACCCCTAGGAGATTCTAATTAGAGAAGTCTGGAGTAGTATCTATAAGTCTGTCATTTATAAAAAATTCCCCAGTTAATTCTCCGGTGCAGCTGTATTTGGGAACCACTAGGCTTGGAAGGTCTAGAACAGACAGAATTGAGTTGGGAAGATATTTCTGGTGTGTTTGAACATTCAGGTAATACTTATGTGCCTGGAGCCGGTTCCATATGGGCAAACTAATGCAGTTATGATGCAGAGGTAAGTTGGAGTCAGATGATAGAAGGCCTTTAACTGGCTGAGTGTCCCTAAGGCCTGTGGTGCTATGGATAGGCCTTACAGACCAATTGAAGGCTTTGAGGAAAAAGTGTTTTGATGAAAGAAGGTGCTTTACAAAATTATTTCCTCAGTGTGTGTGGAGTGGACTGGACTGAGAAAAAAAACTGAAGGCTAGAAAAAGATCCAGCACAGTTTTTGCAGCGGCCCAGGTAAGAGGTAGTCAGCATGTGGCGTCAGATGGGAGCTCTAGGACCTTTGCAAAGCTAGCCTTCCTGGGCTGGACTGGAATCTGGGACGTGTTGTTTTAAGCTACTTAAAAAAAAATCGGTAATTTATTAGTGTTGTGTTCGTCTGCTTTAACTCTTGTAAGGAGTGGTTTTATTGTGTTAGTGTCCGGGAGGTTTTAAAGGAAACCCAGTAAATCAATTCCTTCGGAGAAGGAGTTGGCAGTAGCAAGAGCTGCTGTTGAGAGGAAGGCGGAAGGAAGAGAGAAACGAAGGTAGGCCTTTCTTGCCAGGCAGCAACGCCATCCTCACTCTGCCTCCACCCTCTTGGGGACTGGAGCCTAGCAGAGGCTTCCTGGAGCTGGGCCTGCTGACCACAGCAGGGCAGAATGCCCTTCTCCCAGGATTAGGTGTGGAATGTGGCATTTGGCCTTCAGGTCAAATGGAATCGTTTTCCTTTGTTCTCTAAAACCCAATCTGTAGGTCAGTGTTTCCTAAGGTGTGATACACAGAACATTAGTTCTGCTGGATGTTAATAATAGTTACATGAGAATAAGAAGTTGAAGCCAAATAAGTTTGAGAACTGCTGGGTCTAGTAAGCCAAAGCAGTGGCTTCCCTTACCTCACAGGATTTCAGAGTGTGTGCGATGTGCTCTGTGAATTTCTAGGAAGGAGATAGACTGTTCTTTTTCCTCTAGGCCAGGGGCTGACAGACTATGGCCCACAGGCTAAATCTATCCCAGTGACGCGTTTTTGTAAAGTTTATTGGAACATGGTGACACCCATTCATTGTGTTGTCTTTTTTGGCTGCTTTAGCACTCTAGCAGAGTTGAACATTTGCATTGGAGACACAGAGACCAAATGGCCTGTACAACTGAAAATATTTATTATCGTGCTCTTTACAGAAAAGCTTTTCCTGTCCCAGTCTAGGCAATTGATAGAACTGGTGTTCGCTGGAACCCTTATTTGAGACATACTGCTATAACAAGGTAGAGGTGGGTTGTTCTGGCACTGCTTGTGATGAATCTGCTTAATTTTATCCAGCTTTTATGCTACCATCTTTCTTTTCCTCGCTTTGAACTATTTTCTCTTAACTATCCATTGTTGAAGATCAAAATCTGGCTCCCATGTGTCATTGTTCTTTCCTTTCACTTATCACATTCCATCAATCACCAAGGATGTATTCAGTCTCTAGCTAAATAGCTCTCAAATCTGCCTATCCCCACTCCCACCAGACTTGTTTAAATGACCATCATCTCTTATTTTCATTTTTTTGTCTTTTAAGTGAATTTCCTTTCCCTACCGATGGGTTCCTTCTAATCCATTTTACTCAGTGGATTCAGAGTAATCTTTCTAAAATGCAAATCTAGTCTGTTCACTTCCCTACTTAAAATCTGTCAATGCCCCCTTCCACCCATGGCCTTCTAGATAAGCTCCAAATCCTCAACATGGATGTATCAGCCAAGGTCTGGTGGGGAAAACAGAAACCACTCTAGGTACATCACACTGGAAGAGATTTCATTTAAGGGATTAGATACTTAAGGAATTAGATGTGCTAGAGGAACAAAGATGAAGGAATGCCACAGGTTTGCCACAATTTTCTGAACATTAAGACTTTGCAGGCACTAAAGGACATAGCTGGAGATGCTCAGGCTGCCTGAAGCCTCTGAGTCATGGTTTGCGTGGGCCGGGGGGGTGGGCAGGAATGCCCGAGGCCACTACAAGGTCTTCTGGTGGCCAAGTCCCGTGTTTTTCTTTCCGCATGGCCAGAGGAGCAGTGACGCAGCTTCTTTACTTTCACCTTCTTGGTTTAATGTGAGTGACTCTGAGTCAACAAGGAACAGTATTGAAAGGAGATTTTATAAATAGTGTTCCCAGGCTTCTACCCCCTGGAACACAGGGAAGACCATGGAAGTGGGGAATGGTGCTAAGTAGCTACTAGACCATCTGGGACAGTGATCTCTAAGACTATATGTGATACACTCCACTGCCATTCTCCAGCTGTGGCTCTCTCTTTCTTCTCTACTGTTCACCCTTATTCCTCCCCACTAGACCCCAAATTTCAGACTTAAAGAATGGGTGTTTTTGGAGGCCTAAGATAGGTGACATTTATTGGCTCATAGTTTCTGTGGGTTAGAGATTTAGGAGAAACTAATCTGGTGGTTCTGGCTCATAGTCTGTCTTTAGGCTGTAGTCATCTGAAGGCTCAACTGGGGCTGAAGGATCCCCTCTATGATGGCTCTTCCACATGGCTCTCAGTGGGAGGCCGTAGTTCTTTGCGACATTGGCCCCTTATTAGGACTGCTTGAGTGTTCTCACAACATGGCAGCTGACTTTCCAGAACAAGTCATCTAGAGACAAACCAAGGAGAAGCATATCAGAAGGCTTTAACTCTCCTGTACAGTTTGCCTGATTATCTCAGGTCTAGTTCCCTAGAAGTAGAACATGAGATAAAGATACTTGGAAAGTGATACATGAGGTGTACAAAATAAATACCTGTATAATAACTAAACAAACCCTACTTCTGGTAGAGAATCAAAATGCTTAGCCTTCCTAGGCCTGTGCCCCAATTCTGGGGAGCCAGCCGAGCAGGGTCCATATTGTCCCATCAACCATAGGAATTGACAAAGCCCCAGAACAGATCTCCATGTCCTGAGTGGCAGTACCTTCTGAGTACATGTGACTTAAACAGGCTTTCCACTGCAAGATGAGAATGAAAATAGGTTTCTCATTTGTGCGTAGGGCAGTATTAAAATTAAAATATGAGATGCATATTTTTAAAAAGAACCTAAGCTCGAGTTTCAGTGAGCTCTTGGCTAAAAGTATATCCTGCCTTGCCACATCCTGGCTGGGAACGTGTTGTTACACAGTGAGCCATGAGGAAAGGACTGCCATTCATCCTAGTAATTGTCATCCAGATACTTGTTTCTTTTACAAGATTCAGGCATTGGATTTCAGTTCAGACATTTAAAACTTTCAGACAAGGGCATATTGTCCATGTTGATAGAGTTGTTCCCTACTTTCTTTAATATGTGCAGGAAAAAGGGAGCCGCTGAGGTCCCCCTGTTTTCATGAGTTATTCTCTCCAAAGTGTTACCTTGGAAAAGTCTAAAGAGATAGCAAAGAAATCTTCCCAGTTTGTTCTGCTTTCTAGCTGCTGAGACTTACACCATTTTCTTGAAGGAAAATGAAATCCTTGATTGTGAAGAGGGGCTTTTGTATGTGTAAATCTCATCTTTGTTTTTTTGTTTGTTTTTTATCACAAAGCTCGTTTTCTTTCTTCATCCCTTTTCCTCGTATAATTTCTGGCTCCACTGAACCTCTGCCTTTCCAGGACCTTCTTGATTCCTGTGTTCCAGGCCCCTCACAGATTGCAGTCCTCTGAATGTTGGCTAGATGGTCCCATTTCGAATCAGTCATGGGGTGGGGAGGGGCCGTCTTGATGTTCCTCCCAAGGAGATGGGTGGTTAGACTGTGTCTGACGCGACACCCAGGAGCGGTTTGTTCCCCGTGGTGGAGCTAGAAAACCTAGCCCCTCGGATACAATTTCAGAAGGTAAACCGTGAACGGAAAAAATTGTTAAACACTTCTTACAACTGCTCGTTCATTCTTCCCAACTCTGACAACATTGTTCTTCGTGGTTTTAGAGATGTTTAAGAGAAACTGGAGGCAGTTGACAGTGCCATTCACCTACTTCTGCTGCGCTCAGAATCCTTATTTTTGTTGAAAAGAGGGTCCGAGTTATCGTTTTCCTCAATATTTCCACAAGAAGGAGACTGCTCGGCTCCCCAGGAAAAGGGAGCTTTAGGGTGAGCACTCCTTGGCCTGATGACGGAGGGACCTGAGCAGTTGAAAGACGGGGAGACTGGCCTCTCTCTCCTTTTCCCTCTGGCTGGAGGGACGTGCCGATGTGTGGCTGTGCTCCTGCAGCAGCTCGCCTGTGCTGAGGCCAGGGCGTTCGGGTCCCAATCACTAGATCTGTGGATGGAGGGCAAGAAGGGGCCTCAGGTCCAAGTTGTGCTCTTCCACAGAGGTCATTTGGGAGGTTATTGGGCCCTCACTCAGCCCTTAGTGAAGCTGACATTAGGCCTGCGGATCTTGAAGTAGGACACTGTTTGTCAGAGCTCAAGGGAGGTGGGTGAACACTTGCATTCCCTGTGCTCCTGACGAAGAATGGCTCCTGGATAGCTTTGCTCGGCTGTTGTCTGGGTGTTTGAAACCCAGTATGCCTAAAAATGAGCTCACCTTCCACTTGCTTCTGTCATGGGTCCCGTCTTTGGGGCCAGGCCTCTGTGCTCTCCTGCTGTGCTAAGCTGGTGTTCTGGGTTGCGGAGCCTCCTTTCTCACCATGCCTGTGCACTGCCCCAGTAGCCGGAGGCAGCCTGCTGATCACGCACGTCTCACCCATGTCTTTGTTTGCCCACAAGGCCCAGGTGTTCCTGGAGCCCCCATAGTTCCTCACCAATAGTCTGAATTCCACCGAAGCCTGTTTGTCCAGTCATTTCTGTGCCTTTTCCATTAGACTTCAAGCTCCTTGTAAGAAAGGTCTGGGCATCGCTTATCTTGAATACCAGCTCTAGCACAGGGCCTGCCGGCAGTGGCTGCTAAATAAATATTTCTTGAATGACTAACACTCAGGCCCCAGAGTACCTGAGGCTGTATTACATAGTGGTCACAAGCCTGGCATCAGGACCTGAGGCGTGAGTTTGGACTCTGCTCTTTGTGTGATCTTAGGTGAATTCCTCAACAACTTCATTTTCAGTTTCTTCACTAATAATGCGGGGGGTGGGGGGTGGGCATGACTACTTCCTAGGGCTGTGACGACGAAATGCTTTCATCCCTGCGGAGCACCTGGAGAACGGTGTGACACAGTGTTAGGTGTTTCAGATATCCGTCAACAACAACAATACAATTATCCTTACTGGAAAGGAGAGTGCTGTCCGCAAAGCTTGGAACGAGAACTCAGGCATGTGGAGTGCCTGCGTAGTGGGTTTGAAAGACGTGCAGAGGTGCTTGGGAACCGAGGTTTTGGCTAGGGCCGTGCACATGCGGGAGCGGGTGGGATTACTCTTGGAAAGAATGAATGACAGTGGGAGAACCAAAGACAGAGCCTTGAGAAATCCTCCAGCTGAGGGATGAGAGCAATCAAAACAGGAAAGAAAGATCATGATTATCAGTAGGACGTTGCGGTTCTTCAGATGCTGGGGACCGGACTTGTAAAAAGATACTCATGGGTGCTGTGCTCGGCAGAAGGCCTGTGAGGAAGGTACAGGAGGCAGGAAGAAGCCGATAAATGCAGTGCTCTTGTCTATTTGAGTAGATGCAGAGGAAGAAGCCATACGAGAGGTTGCGGAAGGCCGGGTTGGGGACAGGGTGGGCACACTAGGGCTGGTGGTTGTGCTGCAGCGTGTGTTTCCGTTATGCGGTTTAATTTGTGGGTAAATAGAGGACTGTGGTCACTCTCATGAAGAAGTCCCGTTCATTTGTTCGTATGGGGGGGGGGTTTCTCAGCATGTTAACACTTGCCTTGCCGATGAATAGCAACTGAATGTGGCAAGCCTCCTGCAAGGGGGGCAGCAGCGGCGCCTGGTCTTGCTGTGCACTGCTGCCTGGCCCTGGGCCACCTGGCGTGCCTCGACGGGCTTTGAGAGCGGCGCCTGCCACTTTTCGTGTGTTTATTCACTGATTCCATACCACTCGGTAGCTGCAGCCCTTCTGTTTACTCCTGCCATCATGCTCTCCCATCCTGACCTTTTTTAAGGTAGAGTCATATCTATTTTTCTTAGGAATTGAATATTTTTTAAAATTTCAGTGTTTTTTTTTTGTTATTACGGTTATTGTTTTTGTTAGTGATTGGGTTGAAATTTTAACTCCTTTCCTAGCCCCCTCTTTTTTTCCTGATAAGCCTTAATATTTTTTGTTTCAACTTATAAAGCATCAGTTTTTCCACAATGCATATGTCTAGTTGTAGACATTACTGTGACTCCTTTTCTTAAGACTGAACAAGGCTGGAAGGGAGCATGGGAGAGAATGGCAGGGTCTAGGGAAGGTTTTCTCAAGGATCTGCAGACCTGACCACGCTTGGCTATACGTTGGTCTAAATCAACTTCCACTTAGTGACTTTTTCTAAGTGTTATTCGTTATATATTTAGGTGGTTATGTGTTTGCATTCTTATCTTTTGTGTGATATTTTGCTACAGTCTGAACAAACATCTGAGGCTGAAATACACCCCCAGCTGAACAGAGCCCCCTCCCAAGCTGCAGAGAATAGTCCAACAAAGAAGGTAAGGCCAGAGGGAAGGTGCTGGTGTCGTGGCCTTGTGAGCCACGCCCCTGGGCTTCTTGTCTTTGTTTGCAAATCTGTTGTATGGTTTGTGTGTCCTTAAGTGAATGTTAACGGTCCGGGTTTTCTAGAATGTGGGTTCTTTGTGAAGACTAGGGTGCTGATGATTCTTGGGCCTGACCTTGATGCCACTGACAGTTTGTACCTTCCTCTTCAGCACCCCAGTTAAATATGGCGGCCTCGCTCTCGGCAAGTTCAGGTGGGGAGGACCAGGTGACTTTAGTGGAACGCTGCATGCTGCTGAGCCTCTGGGAGAGCCTCTGGGGGAGGGCGGTCTGCCCTCTGTGTGCCGTGGTGTCTTCTTGCGTCCTGGTGTCTTCACCTTAGCCCTCCTCCCCTCCCCTGTGTCACTGAGTCCCACGTCATTTTGCTCGGTGGGCACCACTCCCGCGTTCTGTTCTCTGTTTACCTTCCCGCCCTCTTCTTGTTGCTCCCTTTTTTCTCAGGCCCTTCTCTGGTCGGAACAGGGGCCTGGGTCTCGGGAGCACAGGTGAGGAGGGCCCTCCCCGGAAGCAGGCCAGAGGACATTGTGGCTCTGGATAGGGCGCCTGGGTGGCTGAGTCGGTTAAGCATATGACTTCAGCTCAGGTCATGATTTTATGGTTTGTTGGTTTGAGCCCCATGTTGGGCTCTGTGCTGAGACCCTGGAGTCTGCTTCGGTTTCTGTGTCTCCCCCTCTCTCTCTGCCCCTCTTCTACGTGCATTCTCTCTCTCTGTCTCTAAAAAAAAAAAAAATGAGAAAACCATTAAACATTTAAAAAAAGACCTTGTGGCCCCTGAACTTGACTTCATGAAGGAATTGAGAATGGAAGAATGAAGAGCAGATGACTGAGACCATCACACACTTCAAAATTTATAACATTTTCCCACAAGCCCCAGAGTGATGCAAGAGTGAGCTTTGTCTTCAGTTAGAAAAGGCCTCATGGTGTGAGATGCACACACATTTAGAAAAGGAAGAGTGGGCAGCTGGGCCCCTGGATCCTGATGCCCGTGTCCCTCCAGTTCTTGCCAAGCCATGAATTAGCCTTTTATCTTCAGGTGTGGAGTCTGACCAGAGCACACGCCTGACCTAGAGGAACACGGGGCTTTGACATGATGGGGGAGCATTTCGGTTTAACTTTTGGGTTTTATTGTTTTGTATTTAATCCGCAGGATGTACCATATTCTCAGCCTCCATCAAAGCCCATCCGAAGGAAATTCCGACCTGAAAACTCAGCTACAGAAAGCCAAGAGACTTCTACCACTGTTGGCGGGCCAGCATCGGCAGCGACAGTGAAACCCCATGCGGCAGTCCAAAAGTAAGCCTGTTGGATTGGGGAGGTCGGAGTCTACCTTTTAAATCTTTGTGTATGTGTGAATGTAAATGTGTGTACATTTATGTTCATGGCCATAGAAGGGTGTGATTTGATGGCTGTGTTTTGTCTTACTCATCTCTGTGGTGCTATTACAGCCTGCCAGCCCTCTTGAAAGAGACCACCTGACCCGAGGGCCAAGCGAGTACTAAGCTGTAGTGTTTTGGTTTGTTTGATTCCTTCCCTTCCTTCCTCCTCTTTGTCTCCTTCCCACCCGTCTTCTCATGGAAGCCCACGTTTTCCTGGGAAGAAGACAGTGATAGAGATGGCAGTCTTTCCTCTTGACCTGTCTTACGTTCCCCAGGGCAAATGGTTAGCTTCATGACCCTCAGACCCAGCTTTCAGTAGATATGCTTGTGATTTCTTCTTAGTCCCCATGAAAATTTCCTGTTGTCGATCAACCTGGCACAGAATGGTCGCATGTGGAGCCTCCAAAATGCCCATCTGACTGGCTCTAACAGACTTTGGAGGGAGGGGGGCACACCTGTGGACATGGCCAGAAGCCGAGAGAACAGGGCTCTTGGACAAACCATTTGTCTCTGGAAGGCTTTGCTTTAAGAAAGGCTATCACTTGCCTCAGTTGCCCTGTAGTGAAACTGAGCAAGGTGTTGAGGGCAGAAACGTGCCATGAATGACTTCCCAAGTGAGCGCGACTGGTAGCTAATGTAAACGCTCACGATCTGCCCTGGCACTGCTCTAGAGGCCTCACAGGTCCCAGGGGCTGCTTGGGCTTCTCCCACTTCCACCGTTGTAGAAGGAGAAGCAGCAGACTCTGGGGGTGCACCTTGCCTTTGGAGCCCAAACCCTGTTCTGAATCCATGTGGCACTCTTCTTCACAGGATGGTGTTTGTCTTTTTTTGCAAATGGACCATTTCCTGATGGTGTCGGTGCATAAAGGAAGTGTATTTTGTCCTTACTGGCCTCTGACAACCTCCACCATCTTCCAGTCACCCTCAGGCCTCGGGGATGGATCCCCTGTCAGGGACGGGGATGGATCCCCGTCAGGGACAGGGATGGCAAAACTCACTTCCATGTGCTCCCCCAGCTTACCGCTTTGGTCTCTGCTTTGCTTTACCACTAGTCAGTCAGTGGTGGCCGTGGCACCTTCCAGAGCACACGGATGGCTGCTGGTGGGGCTCACGTAGAGATCTTTCTCATTTTCTTTCCTTCGTTTGTTTTTTTTTTTAAACAGCTTTATTGAGGTACAATTCACACAGTATAAAATTCACCCTTTTATGTGTACAGATCAGTGGTTTTTAGTATATCCACAGAGTTGCGCAACTGTTGTCGCAGTCTAATTTTAGAACATTTTCATTGCCCCCAAGGGAAATTCCGTTCCCATTAGCAGTCACTTTCCATTCCCTGTCCCATGTCCCAGGCAACTACTAATCTACTTTATGTCTTTATAAATTTGCCTGTTCTGGCCATTTCATGTAAATGGAATCATGCAACATGTGGTCTTTTGTGGCTGGCTTTTTTTTTCCAGTTACCATCATGTGTCCAAGGTTTATCCATGTTGTAGCACAAATCAGTACTTAATTCTTTTTTTATTGCTAAATAATGTCCCATTATATGGATAGATCCCATTTTATTTACCCGTTTCTCTGTCGATGGACATGTGGGTTGTTGCCTCTTTGAAGCTAGAAAGAATAATGCTGGTACGCTCTTTGTGTACAAGTTTTTGTGTGGTCTTATGTTTTCATTTGTCAACTGTATGTACCTAGGACTGGGGTTGCTGGGTCATACAGTGGCTCTATATACAGTATTTTCAGGACCTGCCAAACTGTTTCCCACTGTGGCTTCAGCATTTTACATTTTGGCTGGTAACAAATGAGAGTTCCAGTTTGTCCTGTTCTTCCAACACTTGTTGTTACCTTTTTTTTTTTTTTTAATTATTACAGCCATCCTAGTGGGTGTGAAGGGATATCTTATTGCGCTTTTGATTTGCATTTCCCTCTTGGCTAATGAGGTTGAACATCTTTTCATATATTTATTGGCCATTTATATATCTTCTTTTGCAAAATGTCTACTCAGATCCTTTGCCCTTTTCTGCTCGGATTTTTTTTTTTTCATTCTGAGTAATCGGTTCTTGACCTATTCTGGATACAAGTCCCTTGTCAGATATGTGATTTGTAAGTATTCTTTCCCATTCTGTAGGTTGTCTTTTCACTCTCTTCGTGGTGTCCTTTGCAGTGCAGAAGTTTGTAATATTGATGAAGTCCAATTTATCTTTTTTTTTTCTTTTGTTACTTGTGCTTTTAGTGTCATAGCTAGGAGCCATTACCTAACCCACGTTCATAAAGATTTTTTTTCCTGTGTTCGCTTCTACAGATTTTATAGTTTTAGTTCTTACGTTGAACTAATTTTAGTTCATTAGTTAGTTTGGTTAATTTTGAGTTCCTGTTTGTGTATAGTGTGAGGAAGGGGCCCAGCTTCATTCTCTTGCGTGTAGATATCCAGTTGATCCTGCACCATTTGTTGAAAGGAGATCCTTTCTTTTATCTACCTGTTTATCTACTGTCCCTCATTGTGGTACACTGTCACTCGTTAGGTGACCACGTGGTGTCAGGCTGAGAGAGGCTCGCGGCCACCAGCAACACCAGTAGCAGGGATGGACTTAATACAGCTTGTTTTAGTTCCCAGACCAGTTCCTTTTGGAGCGATAAGCAACGTAACATTCATAATTTATTCTTATTAAAAAATTTTTTTTAAGTTTATCTTGAGAGAGATGAAGCAAGCATAGGAGGGGTGCGCGCACACACACACACACACACAGAAAGAGGAGAGAGAGAGAGAGAGAGAGAGAGAGAGAGAGAGAGAGAGAGAGAGAGATCCAAGCAGGCTCCACACTGTCAACGCAGAGCGCAATGCGGGGCTTGAACTCAAAAACCATGAGATCATGACCTGAGCCAAAACCCAAGAGTCAGACCCTTAACCACCTGAGACACCCAGGCACCCCAGCATTCATAATTTTTTAAGTTTTGGAGAGAGAGAGAGAGAGAGAGAGCCAGAAACATGATGTATAGTTCTTTCGCACCCAGGGTTTTGGAAAAGAATTAAATTCTGATGCCTTAGATATCCATTGTCTATAGGAAGTTAACCTCTCTTATGTATCTGGAGTGGTCTTTACTATGTATTGTTTTTGGGAAAAATGAGAAAAGAGGCACAAATCATTTCTCATTTTTATTGTCTCACAGAACCTTGGTTAAGAATGGCTGAAAAAAAAGACTAGTTAGAAAATGGTCATCAGCTCTTTGGGAAATGAACATCAGAACAGACCTATTATAAGAAATAAATTCCCCTTCAGATATCGTCATTGTCTACTCCATTTAAGGCCAAGGCAAAATACAGTATTCTCCAAGCAAGCTGCGGAGTCCCGGTTATAACTAATAAACACCTCCTGGATTGTGTCATCACTAATGAGCTTCTCCGAAGGACAAAAGTGGGTATTTTAAAGAAATACTTTGGTTTACTTGGTTTTCCCCTCACATCTCACATATCTAGTAAAGATGAACTTTGGGAAAACAGAATCATTTGAACAGTTTGGAGAGAGAGGATATGGTGTTAACAGTACTGTGACTGAAGCTGCGAGCCTCCACGGCTTCTGCTCTTCCCTGTATCCCCAGGAGATGTCCTGGGCCATCCCAGGGCACACCCAGCAGCCAGTGTGGGGCGGGCTCTGTTTGCCTGCACGACGTTCTCAGTGGGTGCGATTCTGTTGTCCTTCCTGCTTCAGATTTGGCAGCACTGGAATGTCTGCGGGGCTGAGAAGGGGCATCCCTAGTGAGAACCTCCCATTTCCAAGTAGAGAAAAGGCAATACAACTTCATTTCTCAAAAGCTGTACTCAGTAATTCCTTGGAAGAAATCAGGGCTCAGGTTGAAGGCTAAGAAGATTTTTCTCATCAGGAGACCCTACTTTATATTCTTTCAAATATTGGTTCAGCTGTTTGAATGAAACCCAGGTAACAGCCACTCAAATAATGTGGAAATTGACTTCTTTCATGTGTAAAAGTCTCAGATGGTGAGTAGTCCCAATGCATAGGGCAGCTCTGCCCAGGAACCCAGGTGCCTTCCTGTATTCTTATTCTAGATCCCCGTGGGGGTTGCCTTCATCCCTGTGGTTGCAGATGGCTCACTAGCATGTTCATCTTCTGGGCCCCAGAGAGGGGAATGGGAAAATGGAGAGAAAACAGAAAGGGTATGACACAGAAGTGGTGCTCATCACTTCTCTCTGATCCCTTTCGCCCAGATTTAGTCATATGATCTTACCTCCCTGCAGGAGAGACCGGAAAATGGAGTTTCTGGTTGGATGGCCATGTACCTCGTTCAGCTGCGGGTGATAGGCCGGCCACTGCAAACAAGAGCGCATGGGAATGGGTTTCAGAGGATAGCCGGCTGCAAAACCTTGAGTGCCTCAGAGTGCTATAGTTCTCAGTTGATAGATAGCGTGACACACAGTAGGACCAGACAAATTAAATGTCTACTTCACTGTTACTCCTTCATTTTCCTCCTTGGAAACCAGGCCATTTAGAACCTGGCCTGGAACAGTGAGTGAAAATATTAGAAGAACCTGAAGAGACAAACTCCAGAAGCAACCCTTAAGAGGGTGAGGCAAGTTAAATGCTTTGCCTACTCCTTCATAGATATTCTGGGCTTGATCCTATCTTGATGTTATTTAGGGCTCCTTTGTAGCAAATGATAAAAAGCAACTTGAGGTAGCAAAACCATACTATTTATTATAAGGATATAGGGGTGACTCATGGAAATCTGTGGTAGGAGTGGCTTGGAAGAGACGATTGTAAACCTTTGGAGTGTCTTCTGATTCCTTCAATTTTCTTAGGGTGTTTTTGACTTTTTTTTTTTTTTTTTTTTTTTTTAACCTATGAAGACTTCTCAAGCACCTTCAGCTCCCGAGATTACTTTGTTACCTTCCCGGGCCCAGGCTGAACTGAACTATTAGCCATAACCCAGATCCTTCAGAGAGAGAACTGATCAGCTCAGCATGGGCCAGCATCCACTCAAGGATCAAAATAGAGGTGAAGGTTTTCTTAAGAAAATGTGACTGCCTGCCAGGGGCCCATCACAGTGGAGGAGGTGGGAGGAGATGGAGACAGTTGCTAAAGGAGGAAAATGTTAGGAACTGGGTGCACGTAGTGTGTAGTAGTTTAAGGAGGGACATCATGTTCTGATCAACATCTTTTTATTGAAACTCTTTATTTTGAAATAATTACAGATTTACAAGAAATTACAAAAACCACACAGAGCAGTCCTGTGTATCTTTTAAAAAATATCTTCTTTTTTAATGTTTCATTTTATTTTTGAGAGAGAGAGAGAGAGAGTGCGAGAGCGAGCACACAAGTAGATGAGGGACAGAGAGAGTGGGACAGAGGATCCAAAGTAGGCTCTGTGCTGACAGCAGTAAGCCTGATGCAGGACTCAAAGTCACGAACCATGAGATCATGACCTGAGCCAAACTCAGATGCTTAACCGGCTGAGCCACCCAGGTGCCCTAGTCCTGTGTGTCTTTCACCAAGTTTCTCCTAATGGATAACATTTGACCCAACTGTAGTACAACATCCAAACCAGGACACTGACATTGGGACAGCGTATGTGTAGTTCTATGTCGTTTAATTACATGTGTTGAGTCTTGTAACCACCACTGTAATCAGGGTACAGAAGTCAGACCTACCCCTCCTCCTCACCATTCCTTACCCCTGGCAACCATTGATCTGTTTCCCGTATCTATAGTTTTGTCATTTTGAGAATATTATAGAAATAGAATCATACAGCATGTGACCTTCTGAGTTTGGCTTTTTTTCGCTTGGCACAGTCCCTGGACATCCAAGTTATGTATCTCAATCAGCACTGCTAGGCTGTATTCTGTGGTATGCATGTCTCACAGTCTGTCGAGCCATTTGCCTGTTGAGAGATGTTTTGGTTGTGTTTAGTTGAGAATTCTAAATAAAGCTACTATGAGCACCTTGTGTATGGGTTCTCGTGTGTACATATTTTCATTTCTCTGGTATAAATGTCGAAGAGTGTGACTGCTGGGTTGTGTGCTGAGTGTATGTGTAGTTGTTAAAGAACCTGCCAAGCTGTTTTTCAAAAACGGCTTTCCCATTTTACATTTCCACCAGCAATGTATGGCACGTGCAGTTTGTCCACATCCTCACCAGCATTTGCTATTGTCATTTTTTTTTTTTTTTACGTTAGCTGCTCAAATAGGTGTGTAGTTCTATCCTACTGTGGCCTTAATTTGCATTTCCCTAATGGCTAGTGATGTCAAGCATCTTTTCATGTGTCTATTTGCCATCATATATCCTCTTTGGTAACATGTCTCTTGATGTCCTTTCCCCATTTTCTAATTGAATTGTTCTTTTTCTGTTGAGATTTGAGAGTTCTTTATATATTTTAAATACATATAAATTGTTAGATATGTGCTCTGAATATATTTTCTCTGAGTCTGTAGCTTGTCATTTCATCCTCTTAACAGTCTTTTGTAGTGTGGAAGTTTTTAAAATTTCAAAGAAGTCCAACTTGCTGATTTTTTTTTCCTTGTATGGATTGTGCTTTTGTTGTTGCATCTAAAATTCTTCACCAAGCCCTAGGTCTTAAAGATTTTCTCTTATGTTTTCTTCTAAAAGTTTTATGATTTTATACTTTATATTTAAGTTGCTAGATCCATTAGGTCAGGGTTCTTTTCCTTTTTTTTCTTTTTTTTTTGGCTTGTGGATGTTGAATTGCTTCAGTACTGCTGGTTGAAAAGGCTAGTCTTGCTCCATTGACTTGCATTTGCACGTCTGTCAAAACTAAGTTTACCAGTGTGATTCTCTTTCTGGGTTCTCTATTCTGTTCCATTGATCTATGTGTCTTTCCCTTTGCCAATACCACACAGTCCTGATTCCTATCTTCATTACTTATTTACTTGATTCCTGTAGCTCTATAATAAAAAGTCTATTTCTCCCACTTTATTATAATTTTTTTTCAAAATTGTTTTAGCTATTCTGATTCTTCTGGCTTTCCATATAAATTTTAGAGTAATTTTGTCTCGATTTACAAAAATCTTGCTGAGATTTCGATAGGAATTGTGTTAATAAACCTTTGTATCAACCTGGGGAAAGTTGACATCTTTACTGTGTTCAGTCATCTAATCCATGAACATGATAAATATTTCTGTTTGTTTTGATCCTATTTTTTCATTAGTGTTGCATAGTTTTCAGCATGTAAATCTTATATGTTTTGATATATCTAAGTATTTCAGTTTGAATCTTTGTGATATTGTATTTTTGAGTTTTTCCCCATGTATTCATTGTTAGTGTATCAAAATTCTATTGATTTTTGTATGTTAATCTTCTCTCCTCCAAACTTCTATTCTTGCTGAAATAATTTATTAGTTCTGAGAATTTTTTTTTTTTTTATAGATTTCTTGGAATTTTCTATATAGGTCATCATGTCATTGGCAGATAGGGACAGTTTCATTCTTTCCAATATGTGTGCCTTTTCTTTTTCTTGAATTCTTGTACTGGCTAGGACTTCTAGCACTGTGTTGAAAATAATAATGAGAGTAGAAATCCTTGCTTTGTTCCTCATCTTAGGGGGAAAGCATTCAGGTTTTCATTCTGTATAATGTTAGCTATAGCTATTTTTTGTAGAAATTCTTCATCAAGTTGAGCAAGTTGGCCTCTATTCATGGTTTTCTGAGAGTTTTTATCATGAAGTGGGTATTGAGTTTTAACCAGTGCTTTTTCTATATCAGTTGATACAATCATGTGAGTTTTTTCTTTCAGCTGTTAGGATGGTGGATTACACTGATTGACTTATGAATATTGAATCAGTCTTGCATCTCTGGAATAAAGCACTCTTGGTCATGGTGTATAATATTTAAATATATTGCTAAATTCAGTTTGCTCCTATTTTGTTAAAACATTTTGCATCTATCTCCAGGAGAGAGTGATACTGTGCCTAATTTATGTCTTGCTAGGCTGCCCCCTTCCAAGTCATTTGGCTACAGAGTGCAGGGTTTGGGCTTGGGGGAAGGTGCTTTTTTATGATTGCCCTTATTGGCATTTATGGATTGCTGACTTCTCCACTCTCTAGTCTGGGATATATGAAGCAAAAAAGAAAACTCAGGGAATTCACTGCTGTGTGTTTCCCTGGGTACCGAGTTCCCTAGCTGGCTTGCCTTTTTCACTTTTTGGAATAATCTTTTATTAAAGTTTATTTATTTATTTTAAGAGAGAGAGAGTGAGGGAGAGAGAGACTATCCCAAGCAGGCTGTGCATTGTCAGCACAGAGCCCAACATGGGGCTCAGTCTCACAACTGTGAGATCATGACCTGATCTGAAATCAAGAGTCAGGTGCTTAACTGAGCCACCCAGCTGCCCCTTTTTGGAGTAATCCTATGGGTGTTTTATATATTATGTCCAGGATTTTAACTAGGTGCATAGAGAGAAGTGTGTCTACTCCATGTTGTCCTGAAACCGGAAGGCCAATCCTTATCTTTCTAAAGTAGATTTTAAAGCCTCTCTCCTGCCTATTTATGGATGGAAAAAATTCATCTTTAAACTTGTTGGGGAAGGGAGTATGCCTTCTGTGGATTGTAGCAGAGTGGGTAGCATAGTGTATATTCTCAGCAAATATTAATCAGATCTCCACAGTGGTCACTTTGCATTCTGGCTATGTTGCTCTGGCCTGGAACCCACCTCTCACTGATTACAAATATGTCTGTTTTTTTTTTTTTTTAATTCTCTGAGAATTCGGTATTTTTTGCTGTGGGATATAAGGTTGTAGGTGATGCAGTCACGTTGATTTATCATTCCAACTCTGGACAGCTTTGAGGGAGAAAGTGGGCTCGGAGACCAGCAGTATACCAGAGACTGTGATGGGCGGTGTGGAACATATGGTCACCCTAGTTCTGGCTGCTCTGTGAATTTACTATTGACTTAATTTGGGAATACTGTTATTAAAACATCTCTGTTTTTCTCAAGTGCCACAGATGTGTGCGGGTATGTGCACATGAATGAGCACACTCACACAAGCTCAAGCACTCATGCCTAATAATGAAGAAATGAAGGAGTCATATGCAGGCTGGCTAAGTTAATGTAAGAGTTTTGCTAAAGAGAATGTTCTTCTATTCATTTCCTTCAGACTTGTCCACAGGGGCCACCTGCAGGTCTTTTAAATGCCATTAATGCTTACACAAAAAGGGCATTCTAGTTAATGTGGTTTGTCAGGAAGAAATACTTATTAAATTGTCTGGGAATAAATGGAATGCGAAGTTTGAAAAGGTCTAATTCACAGCTTTTCTTCAAGTTATAAAATGGGAATTACTTCAGGTGTAAATAATTCATCCCGACAAATTTGTTTCATTTGGTGTGTGCCTGTGTGCCTGCGTATCTGCGTGTGGCTGCCTGTCTGTGAATATATGGTTTTCTGTTTGGAGCCCTGCGACATCAGCCCCTTGTTAAGTACTTCCCATGAATCCGAGTGTTCTGACCCACAAGGGTCCGGACCTCCGGGTTCTAGTCCACTGAACTGTGTTTGTACTTTTTTATAGACAGTCTTCCAAACAGAAGAAGGCTATTCAGACTGCCATCCGCAAAAATAAAGAGGCAAATGCAGTGCTGGCCCGGTTGAACAGTGAACTCCAGCAGCAGCTCAAGGTAAGGAGCTTTCTGAATGTGGATCACTAGGCTTTTTGTGTGGTGGTTTTGTTTTGCCCATTGGCCGAGCACCTGCCTCCATTCCTATTGGTAAGACTTGCGTGTTTGTTGTCAAACGTCTTTTGGAAGGCAGAGAATTGCTGCACTTAAGTTTCGTGGGTTGGTTCTTGTATGTTTAGAGGAAGACTAGTAACTTGAATGCGCTGGCTGCATATTGTGTACTAGTTAAATGGACAGAGAGTCTCTGGCAAAGGCTGTCTGAAGCATTCTGCATTGTCCAAAGCTTCTGGATAAAGCCTTGGTTGTTTAGATCCTCCCTGAATGATGCTATACTTCCTTAGGCCAAAGAGGGTGGCCCTGATACTGTGAAAGGCCCAACCCCTCCCCCGAGCACTTGGAGACGGTTCCATGGCACTTTGACAAGGACGTCACCCTGTCCTTACCACTTCTTTCTCTTTTCCCTTAATCTCTCCCGTATTCGTTTCTGAGCACTGCCGTAACGAACTCCTGCAAGCTTGGTGGCTCCAAGTAACAGAAATCACTTCCCACAACTCTGGAGGCTAGAGGTCTGAAGTCCAGGTGTCAGCAGAGCCATGCTCTCTCTCTCTGAAGGCTCTAGGGGAGAATCCTTTCTTCTTTCTTCCCAGCTTCTGGTAGTTGCTGGGTGTTCCTTGGCTTCCACAGGTCTCACTCCAGTATCTGTCTCCACTGCTGCATGGTGTTGTCTCTGAGTCTGTGTCCAAAGTCCTCTTCTTATAGGGGCACCAGTCCTTGAATTAAGGCCTGCTCTAATTCAGCATAACCTCATATTAGTTCAGTCATATCCACAGGGGTCCTATTTCTGTATAAGGTCACGTTTGCAGGTGCTGGGAGTTAGGACTGAAGCATATCGTTTTGGGGGACATGGTTCTGCCTCCTATGTGCTCTGATTCTCTCCTGCATTATTGCCATCCATGTAAACACGTCCCGGTGTTGTCCTTTGTCTTCTCACATCCTTCTCCAGCTGTGGCCCCAGCTCTCTGGTCTCCTGCCCGGCCAGGTTTCTTAGCACTCTGCTTCCTCACCGACGGCTTTCTCTCGCTCCGCTTCAGTATGGCTTCACTCATCCATTCACACCCCTCCTGTGACCATATCCAGTGGGCTGTTCAGTATTACTTGAATTTTCTGAAGAATTCTACACAATGAACTATTACCTCCTCTGGCATTGCTTTTCTCACTGGCTTTTGGGGTTTAATACTCTTCTCATGTTCTTTCTACTCCCTCTCTCCCTTCCTGGTGTTTCTTCCTTCACGATCTCTGCTATTTCTTCCTACTTTGATTTCTCTTGTTTTTCTCCCTTTGCCCCAGTATTTTATTATGAACGTTTTCAACATATGAAAGTTGAAAGAATCCTATGGTAAATACTTTCATAGCCACCTCTTTTTAACCTTTTACAATACTTGTTTTATCATGTATCTATCCCTCTGTCCGTCAGTCTACCTTATTTCTAACATTTTTAAATGTTGTTTATTTTGAGAGAGTGAGTGAGCACAAGCAGGGGAGGGGCAGAGAAAGGAGAGGGAGAATCCCAAGCAGGTTCTGCAGAGTCCCACGGGGACTTGACCTCACGTACTGTGAGATCATGACTTGAGCTGAGATCAAGAGCCCGACACCTAACTGAGCCATCCAGATGCCCCTGTTTTTGACATATTTTTAAGTAAATTGCAGACATCTGTTTGCATTCCCTAGATTGCAACATGCCTATCATTAGCTAGAATTCAGCATTTTTACAGGTTTTTCTGATGATGTAAGTTTTACATAAAATTAATGCATAGATCTTAAGTGTGTATTTGCTCAGTTGTTTTTTGTTTTTTTTTTTTTTTTTTTTTTTACCAATGCATATACTTATGGAACCCAAACCCCTATCAAGATTTAGAACATCATCATCACCCCCAGGAGGCTCCCTCATGATCCTTCCTGGTCAATTCCTGCCACTCACACAGTTCTTACTTTGTTAGCCCTAGTGTTGTTGATTCTGTAACTTTATATAAATGGTGTCCTCTAATGTGTACTTTTGTATAAAGCTTATTTCACTTCGTATTATGTTTTTGAGATTCATTTATATCGCATGTGTCAGTAGTCCATTCCTTTTTACTGCTGGATAGTATTCCTTTGAGTGATTATGTCACAATATGGTTATTAATAAGTTATCCTATCAATGGATACCTGAGCTGTTTCCAGTTTTTGGCTATTTTGAAGAAAACGACATTCTTTGAATAAGTCTTTGTGTGGAAATAAGTTCTCATTTCTCTTGAGGAAATCCCTAAGATTTAGATTAGTAGGTAATGTGGTGAGTGTATGTGATTGGTTTTGTTAGAAACTGCTAGAGCCTTTCCAAACTGGTTGTAGCATTTTATACTCCTTCCACATAGAGTGTGAGAGTTCCCATTGTTCCCCATTCTTGCTGACATTTGGGGATGGTCTTTTTTTTTTTTTTTTTCCTTTTAGAGAGAAAGCATGAGTTGGGGAGAGGGGGCAGATGGAGAGAGGGAGAGAATCTGAGAATCTTAAGTAGGCTCCACACTCCGTGCAGAGCCCAATGTTGGGCTTGATCCCACAACCCTTGGGATCATGACCTGAGCTGAAATCAAGAGTCAGACACTCAACCAGCTGAGCCACCAAGGCACCCCAGTGTTGTTCTTTTTTTTTTTTTTTTTTAATTTTGACTCCTGTATTTGAGTATTTATTTATTTATTTATTTATTTTTACAAATAGTTTATTGTTAAATTAGTTTCCACATAACACTCAGTGCTCATCCCCACAAGTGTCCTCCTCCATGCCCATCCCCCCTCCCCCCCACATCCATCAGTCCTCAGTTTTTGTCAGCATTCAAGAGTCTCTCATGGTTTGCCTCTCTCCCTTTCCCCCACCATTTCCGCCCTTCTTCTCCCCCTTGTTCCTCCCTCAAGTTCCTCCTAATCCTCCTATACGTGCAAACATAGGATATTTGTCCTTCTCTGCCTGACTTATTTCGCTCAGCATAACACCCTCAAGGTCCATCCACGTTGCTACCCATGGCCAGATTTCATTGTTTCTCATTGCCATGTAGTATTCCATGGTATAGATAAACCACATCTTCTTGATCCATTCATCTGTTGATGGACACTTAGGCTCTTTCCATGTTTTAGCTATTGTGGAGAGTGCTGCTATGAACATTGGGGTACACGTGCTCCTATGCCTCAGCATTTCTGTATCCCTTGGGTAAATTCCTAGCAGTGCTATTGCTGGGTCCTAGGGGAGTTCTATTGTTAGTTTCCTGAGGAACCTCCACACTGTTTTCCAGAGGGGCTGTACCAGTTTACATTCCCACCAACAGTGTAGGAGGGCCCAGTGTTGTTCTTTTAATTTTAGTTGAGCCTGTGGTTATGTAGTTTTTATTTTGCATCTCCTTGATGCTTGATTTTGCCGAGCACTTTTTTATTGCAATTATTTACCTTTCATATATTTTATTTTATGAAGTGTCTTTTCAAAATACAATAAAACCTTGGTTTGCGAGCATAATTTGTTCCAGAAACATGTTTGTAATCCAAAGCACTTGTATATCGAAGCAAATTTCCCCGTAAGAAGTAATGAAAACTCATTACTTGTTCCACAACCCACAAATATTCGTATAAAAATGATTACAATACTCTAATATAATACAAAATAATAAAGAAAATACAAAATATAAAGAAAAATAAGCAAATTAACCTGCACTTACCTCTGAAAACCTGTGTGGCTGGTGTGAGGGAGACCACAGAGGATGGTTATTGAGTAGGACGACTTTCACTATTACTAAGAGATGTTGACTATAGGACAGTGTTAATCAACTCTTGTCATAGATTGCAGTTAATGTAACTGGCAATAAAGTAGCAGAGGAAAGGGTCTAGATCTGCAGGCAGCCTGGCCTAGAATGAAGTAGCGCATTCCCAAGCTTACTCGTGTCTAGAAAAGCAAAGGACTGTCCATAGGTTTTTTGGAGGGACAAAAAAATACACTAGTGCCAGTTGTGGGCACCTTCCAGTGTTCTGAAAAATCACTGATTTCTGCCAAACACTGTGGCCTGAGACCAAGCATCCAAGTGTGGGAAATGATCTCCCAGCGAGGGAGAGGGAGACAGATGATCCGAAGCAGGCTCTACGCCATCAGCACAGAGCCCACTGCAGGCCTCAAACTCACAATCTGACAGATTATGACCTCAGCCAAAGTTGGACACTCAACCAACCAAAGCTGGGCGCCCCTAGATAGATGCCCTTTATATTATCTTGGTTACTAGTCCTTTGTCGGATCACTGTTTTGTAAATGTTTCCTTGCAGTCTTTGTTTTGCCTATTCATTTCCTTAACTGTATCTTGTCATGAACAGTAGTTTTTAACTTCTCTAAAGTCTAATTTTTCATTTTTTTGGTTCTTATTTTCTCCCTTCATAAGGAAACTGCGTACATTTAAATAATGAATATACTCTATTATGTTTTCTTTTAAAGGCTTTATCGTTTTAGCTTTTACATTTAGGTCTTAAGACAATTATTTAAATTACTTTGTTGAGGTATGATTGACACACAAAAAGCTATGAATATTTTACGTATGTAATGTGATACCTGCAGTTTGGAGATAATTATATATCCATGGACCCATCACTACAATTTATGCCATAAAACTATGCATCACCTCTACAAGTTTCCTCCTCTCTCTCTCCTTTTCTTTCTTTCTTACATTATTTTGTGTGTGTGATAAGAATGCTTAACATAAGATCTACCCTCTTAGCAAATTTTTAATTATAGACTACAGAATAATTAATGGTAGGCACTATGCTATATAGATCTCTCGGCCTTACTCATCCTGTGTCACTGAAACTTTGTGCCCTTTGAATAGTACTTCTGCATTTCCCCCAGTCCCTGACAACCACCATTCTACACTCTGCTTCTCTGAGTTTGACTACAGATTCCTCATAGGAATGGTGTCATTTAGCATTTGCCCTTCTCTGTCTGCCTTGTTTTCCTTAGCATAATGTCCTGCAGGTTTATCTGTGTTGTTGCAAATGGCTGAATTTCTTTCTTTTTCAAGGCTGAATAATATTCCATTGTACGCATATACATTTGCTTTACCCATTTGTCCATTGGTAGACATTTAGGTTCCTTCCATGTCTTGGCTATTGTGAATAATGCTACAGTGAGCATGAGAGTACAGATGTGTCTTCAAGATACTGATTTTAACTCCTTTAGATACATACCCAGAAGCTGGATCATGTGGTAGTTCTATTTTTTTTCAGCTTTATTGAGATATAATTGACATATTACCACTGTATGATTTTAAGGTCCACAACATGTTGATTTGATACATTGACATATTGCAATATGATTATCATAGTATTGTTAATGCCTTTATCACCTCACATAATTATCAATTTATGTTGTGAAAACATTTAAGATTTATTCTCTTGGCAGCTTTCAAGTATATATGTATGTAATACAGTAGTATTAACTGTAGTCATCGTGTGTACATTAGATCCCTAGAACTTATTCCTCTTATAACTGGAAGTTTGCACACTTGACCAACATCTTTCCTTTTTTTTTTTTTTTTTAAATATTTTTATTTATTTCTAGGAGAGAGAGAGAGAGAGAGAGAGAGAGAGCGTGAGCAGGGGAGGGTCAGAGAGAGAGGGAGACACAGACTGAAACAGGCTCCAGGCTCTGAGCTGGCAGTCAGCACAGAGCCCGACGCGGGGCTCGAACCCACCAACCGCGAGATCATGACCTAAGCGAAAGTCGGACGCTTAACCGACTAAGCCACCCAGGCGCCCCATGACCAACATCTTTCCATTTCCCCTCAGCCCCTGGCAGTCGCCATTCTACTTTCTGTTTCTATGAATTTGGCTTTTTTACATTGCACACAGGTAATATCATACAGTATTTACCTTTTTCTATCTGACTGACTTCCCCTGGTGTAGTGCCCACAGGGTCCATCTGTGTCACAAAGGGCCGGGTTTCCTTCTTTCTTATGGCTGAATAATACTCCATTTTATGTATGTACTACATCTTTATCCATTCATTTGTAGACAGACACTAATGTTTCCATATCTTGCCTATTGTAAGTAATGCTGCATTGAACATGCAGATATCCCTTAGAAATCCTGGTTTTATTTGGATACCCAGAAGTGGGATTGCTGATCACATGATGGTTCTTTTAATACTGAGGAACCTCCATACTGTTGTCCCTGGTGGCCGCACCAATTTCCATTCCTAACAACAGTGCACAAGGATTCCCTTTTCTCCACCTTTTTGCCAACACTTACCTCTTACGTTGTTGATAATAGTCATTCTCAAAGGTGTGAGGTGATCTCTTACTGTTATTTTGATGTACATTTCCTTGGTGATTGCTGATGTTGGGCATCTTTTTATGTATCGATTGGCCATTTATTTTGGTATATTGTGTTTCCATTTTCATTTGTTTCAAGATAACTATTGATTTCTTCTTTGACCTATTGGTTGTTCAGGAGTGTTAATTTCTACATACTTGTAAATTTTCCAGCTTTCTTCCTATTAATTCATTTCTAGTTTCATAACATTGTGATCAGAAAAAATACTTGGTATGATTTCAGTCTTTTTAAGTTTCCTAGGACTTGTTTTGTGACCTATCATTATATCCTGGAGAGTGTTCCATGTGCACTTGAGAAGAATATGTATTCTGCGGCTGTTGGATAGAATGTTCTTTATATGTTCGTTAGGTCCATTTGGTCTAAAGTATAGCTCAAGTTCAACATTTCCCTATTGATTTTCTGTCTGGATGATATATGCATTGATTTCTCCCTTCAGATCTGCTATTTGCTTAATATATTTAGGTGCTCTGATGTTGGGTATATATATATTTACGATTTTTATATTTTCTTCATGAATTAACCCCTTAACATCATATAATGACCTTCTTTGCCTCTTGTTATGGTTTTTGGCTTAAAGTCTATTTTGTCTCATTTAAGTATAGCCACCCTACTCTCTTGGTTTTCATTTGCATGAATTACCCTTTCTCATCCCTTCACTTTGAGCCTGTGTGTGACCGTAAAGCTGAAGCGAGTCTCTTGTAGAGAACATATAGTGGGGTTTGGTTTTTAGCCACTTTATACCTTTGGATTGGAGAATTTAATTCATTTACATTAAAAGTAGTTATTGATAGGTGAGGACTTACTAATGCCATCTTACTGTTTTCTGGCTGTTTTCTAGTTCCTTTCTTCCTCACTTACTGCCTTCCTTTGTGAATTGATGATTTTTCTCCAGTGGTATGCTCGGATTGTCTTCTCTATCTTTGTGAATTCATTATAAGTTTTTGCTTTGCAGTGACTGTGAGGCTTGTATAAAACATCTTACAGCTATAACAGTCTGTTTTATGCTGATAACTTAACTTTGCATATAAAGACTCTCCCCATTTTTGTTTTTGATGTCACAGCTTACCCTCTTTTTATATTGTGTATTCATTAGCAAATTATTGTAGCTGTAGCATTTTTGTAAAACAATTTTATTGCCTTAATTAGAGATACTCTTCCTGTGGTTCCTGTTAAAATTTACTATCTCACTTTATTTTCTTAAAGTATTAACTGGATGCTAGTCACTCTAATATTGTGGCTATTAATGTCTTAGGTTCTTGATTTTTAGCATTCTAAATCAGAATTTCAGAGCTTTAAGGGAGCGTGGACACCCTCCTTTGACAGATAGGCATATCAAGTCCTTTGAAATGTATGTGACTGGCCCCTGGTCACTTAGTTACCACGTGACAGAGCAGAGGAGGAATAACACCTTTGGCACTCTGCTTCCCCATAATACACTGATTTGCTTTTTATTTTTTTTTATTATTGAAGTATAGTTGACATACAATGTTGTATTAGTTTCAGGTGTATAGCATGGTGATTCTACAACTCTATACATTACTCAGTACTCACCACCACAAGCATAGTCACCATCTGTCCCCATACAATATTATTGTAATATATTGAGTATATTCCCTACGCTGTACTTTTCATCTCCATGACTTATTTATTTTATAACTAGAATTTTGTACCTCTTAATCCATTTCACCTATTTTGCCCATCCTTCCACTCACCTCCTCTCTGGCAGCCACCAGTTTGTTCTATGTATATAAGGGTCTGTTTTTTTGTTTGTTCATTTGTTTCATTTTTTAGATTCCACATATAAGTGGAATCATGCGGTATTTTGTCATTCTCTGTCTGACTTATTTCAGTTAGCATTGTACCCTTTAGGTCCACCCATGTTGCAAATGGCAGGGTTTCATTCTTTTTTTATGACTGAGTAATATTCCTGTGTGTGTGTGTGTGTGTGTGTGTGTTTGTGTGTGTATCTCAAATCTTCTTTATCCATTCATCTATCAATGGACACTTGAGTTGCTTCTATATCTTGGCTATTGTAAATAATGCTGCAGTAAACATAGGGGTGCATAGATAACTTTTCAAGTTGATATCTTTTATTTTCTTTGGATAAATACTGATATTCGAATTACTGGATTGTATGGTAGTTCTGTTTCTTATCTATTCATTCATTCACTTTAAATTCAAGTTAGTTAGCATACAGTGTCATATTGGTTTCAGGAGGAGAACCCAGTACTTCATCACTTACATACAACACCCAGTGCTCATCCCAACAAATATCCTCCTTAAGGCCCATCATTTAGTCTATCCCCCCACCCATTTTCTCTCTAGCAACCCTTAGTTTGTTCTCTATATTTGGGTCTCTTACGGTTTGCCTCCCTCTTTGTTTTTATCTTATTTTTCTTCCTTTCCCCTATATTCATCTGTTTTATTTCTTAAATTCCACATTAGAGTGAAATCATACTGAATTTGTCTTTCTCTGACTGACTTACTATTTTACGTTTTTTGAGGAACCTTTATAATATTTTGCATAGTGGCTGCACCAATTTACATTCTCATTAACAGTGCACAGGTATTCCTTTTTCTTCACATCTTCGGCAACA